TGTTGACCAATTTAATGAGCTTTTGTCTGAACACTCTTGCTAATAGGTCATGACGATCAGAGGGAGCTTGACTCTCCATTAATTCTGCTTGAATTTCTTGCCACTTAGGATTGCAGGTGAATGTTATAAAGAGGTCGGATCTTCCGTGGTTTCTCACATAAGTCATAGCGTCTTGTGTATATTCATGCATGTGCCGGGGACTTCCAGTGAAAGTTGCCGGTAGAATCACTAATTGACCAAGATTGTCAGCTCGTCCATCATTGACTATAGCATCTTTCAGGTGAATGTATTCATCCACTCTAAGCTTTTTTTGATTATAACGTAGAAAAGATAATCTTTCACTTTCGATCTTAGCGTACATGTCAACCACATACTGATGGAAAAGTTGTCGGCACTGTAAGATATGATTGACAGCACCATTTCGTACCATAATTCTATAAGCATAAAAACTCATAGCCGATACCTTTTTGCCAGTGACAGCCATTTCAGTTGTTGGATCAGTCTGTTCGATAAGAAAATGGTAGCCATCCTCACCTTTCCAAAAGATGAGAGGATATTGCAAGGCATCATACGATCTGTGTGTCTCAGATACTCTCTGTAACTGACCATTTTTCTTCTCCAAGACAATATCTCGTTTCTCAAAGTCGTTGCCAGCGATGACAACCGCCACCTCATTTGTCACTGGCTCATTGAAACGACGTGCATGCTCTCCAACAGGTTTCATGTCTGCTCGAATAAGCACCTTGTATTGATCTGTAGGCATTCTTTGAAGGGCAGTCTTGAAAAGATCAACATAAATGTGGTGCTCATGAACCATTTGCTGCAGTTTCTCGACAATGTCTTGACGTACGCCAGGCATGTTTTTGCAACGTTGTTGTACTTCTTTTCGATCGTCGCCCATGAAGTAGATTTGAAGAAATTTATGTTCTTCATTCGAAGGCGGCAGCAGAGATCCTACGCGATGATATACTTGACCCTGAACTCTGAAAGTAGGCATGAAGCCTGAGTCAGACACTTTCTCTGACGTGCCAAAAGATGTCATTTGAAAGCAAGAATTGTATTTTCTAATGTTGTCCAAGAAATGCTTCGATTCAGGCGTTGTTCCTGACATTAATGATTCCAGTGGTTCAGGAGGAGGCTGAAGTTCAGGTAACTTTACTTTACCACCAGAACAGCACATACCTCGTGTTTCTGCATGCCATTTGAGGGCATTACAGTATGGACAAACATTGCTCATTTGTCCAATATTAAGTTGAGGATGGCTGTCATAGTTATTGGCTGGATCATACCGAAACGCTTCCCGTTTCATAAATGTCCATTGCGCTGCCCTTGAGGCTGCTTGTCGTCTACGCTGATCTTCACTTCGAGTCCGTCTCTGTATGGGATTCTCAGCTGCTCGTGAAGCTGCATGTCTGGCTCGATCATCTTCCCGTCGACTTTGTCTCCGTTCTGGAGATTCAGCTGCTCTTGAAGCTGCTTGTCTTGCACGCTGACCATCAAGTCGAGTGCGTGCGTCTTCAGAATCTTCAGCTGCTCTTGTTGCTGCCATTCTTCTTGCAGCTGATGTACTTCTTCCCAAAGAGGCTCTTTTTTTTACTGGCATCACGTAATATTTTTATTTAAATAAGAAATATAGAAAATAGAAAATGCTCCGAAGAGAATGAATTTGCAATCTTACCTTTTGAATTTACTGTTGATATCACGATGGAAAAATATTTGGTAATCTGTAAGCTTATAATTTTTATATGGAATATTGGACACTTACTCGTTTTTGAACAATTATGTTTAGTGATAGAATAGAATATCGATTTTATTAAAAGCGTTGAAGAATAAGAAACACTATAGTGAATTTAGTTTTATTAATGAAAAACAAAAGAAAAAGATACCTATTTATATAGATGCAAATCAATAGCATATTTCTATATCATCATCATCATTTAAGATGACGTAAACATTCCAATGACGATATAAAATATGATATATGAGGAGGAATGTTATACATGGCATCATACACAACAAATGACAAAGAAATGAAGTCATATGTATTCAAGAATGTAATACAGCTGATTATTGAGTAAAATTGTATAAATAGTATATATAGATACCGTTAATACGTCATATTTCTGAGTCATGAAAAAGAACAAAGACGTTATCTTTGAGCGTCAGAAAAAAATGCATGCGTCATTGTTGTAAGTAAAATAAACACAAACACATTTCTTTATGTATATAGATGAGCGCTCAGACGGCCTTCGGCCGCCTTCGCTATCAATTATTTTAATTTTTTGGAATGCTGTAATCCTATTGGTCAGTTTTCTAGATTGCCTGTAGCAAGCACAGGATTGGCATAGATAGATGGAACATGTGAAATGTTGTATATGAGCGCTCAGACGGCCTTCGGCCGCCTTCGCTACCAATTATTTTAATTTTTTGGAATGCTGCAATCCTATTGGTCAGTTTTCTAGGTTGCCTGTAGCATGCGTAGGATTCGTTTTTTTTTCGGAAAAAAATACATGTCGACCTTCCCCTAGGTGTAAAGACCATTTCTGGAAAGTTTCATAGCATTTGCTCGTACCGTGTCCAAATGCATGAAGAACAAACAGACAAACATTCTTCTTTATATATATAGATGACAAATAAAGACTCAAAAGATGATGACAAATATTGTTGGAACAGTTTTCTTGAAACTACAAACATAATATAAGATTCACTATGAAAACGAGAATAGAATGTTTGCATCAGTAACTTTGAGATTTTAATTCTGTTTTTGAAAGTGTGCAGATAAATTTTTCAAAATTAGATTCGAGTTTTAGGAAAAGTTTGATTTCACGTAACTGTTATCTCCTGTGAATGCGAAGTCTATTTCTTGTAAGCTCGTAACAGAAAAATTTGCATTGATTCATGTCAAATGTTTTACTTTGATTAGTAAATTTTATTCAGAAAAAAGCTTTGACAAATCGATGGATGTCTTGAAAAAACATAAAAGCGTAGTTTGAAGATTGACTATGTTTTTAACTTTTAAACTTTATCATAAGAAAAAATATTAAAAAAAAAACACCCAACACCCACCTCTAATTGTTAAGCCTGAATGAGTTTAAGTATTAGTTAGATTTTTCACTTATCTTGGAAAAAATACTGCGCGCTTTACGTGGATTAGTTCAGATACTAGCTTCATTTTTTATAAAGTTAGCCAAAAAGGTAATCGTCATACGTTGAAGAATTTATGTACTGACTATTTTATTTTCGTTATGACGCAAAAAAATTGCACGTCTTATATGGATAAGTTTAGGCACTAGTTACTCTTTTTTTATAAAGTTAACTACCGTGGTAATTAGTATAGGTTCATTAGTTCTGGTAATTTTCAAGGTTTTGAATAAAGTTAGCAAAAATCGTAATCATTATGCGTTGAAGTTTTTAAGCATTGAGAGCTTTGTTTTTTATTATGCTGATGAAAATAATTCTTTTTTACTTTGAGAACGTGGGTGTAAATTGGTGTGGGTTGTCTGTCTGTTCATCCAATGCCACACCCACATCCTTTCCTTCAAGTAACTGTAATTATTCATTCAATTCTCTACTATATTATCGATGGATTCTAAAACAATTAAAGCATCAGTTACTTCTTGAACTCGAAAACGTGAGTAAGAGGAAAGTAACCATTCTTGTTCATATGCAAAATACGAAATATTTGCTATGTCTCTCACTTGACGACAACCGGCAGGAATTCGAATCTCAAATAAAGTGTTCCCAAAAGCGCTTGCTATATCTCTGCTCATGCTTGTAGAAGTAAATCCTGGAAATCAGAATATTTTGCCATAAGTAAAATAATCACGGTCTCGCCTAGTAAGGTTCATGCCACAATAGACTGTACAATGATATGATGGTCCATTGTTGTTAATTTGTCTTGTAGCTCTACGAATAAATGGCATCAGTTTTCTTAATGCGAATTCATTGTCGTCGTGTAATTCTTTATTCACATAGAGGTAGAATTGTGTTGAACCAAAAATTTCATTAGAACTATATGCTTTTAATACATTGTATTCAGTATTTTCAGAGTGAATTAAATTAAATATTGGATGATATTGATCACGTATATTTTGTAAGCCAAGTAGTGAACTAATTACTGCAGCATTTGAGGGATATCTTTCCGTTTGATTGTAAAGCTTAAGAAATCGACTTTGCTGGAATTGATTATCGCTAATACCAGGTATTGTGCTGTAAAACCTGTTTCTCCTGGCAGAAGTCGACGGATCTAGAAATAGATAACGAATCGCATAAATAAATATATTTAATTCTAAAACAAAGTGAATGTTCGTTAGAGTCCTGTGAGATCGTGATTTTTGCTCCTGGTTCAGTTTTTAATTTCAGAGGATCAGCCATCCCCAGCCCTAGTATATAGTGATCACATTTCCATTAATCAAGCGAAAATATAATGGTAAACACTTCAATCAAGGATATCGATAGTTCCGAGTAACCTGAATCAAGATCACATACAACAAGTTGTAAGACAACTGTTCGATCCGAAGTCGTTATCTATTGGTTTCGATCACGAAAGTATTTCTTGCTATGAACAACGGCATAATACAAGTTTTCTCAACAACTATCTCTATGAGCAACGGTAAACATTGAATAAAAAGTATCAATCAATGATGCGATGAAGTTCAAAGAAGAATAAATAGTTGTATTCATCTGGCATAAGACATTAATTAAAATTTCGTCATAATGGAGACAATTTTTTTCCACATTGAAGCAGTACAATGGATGTTTATACTTTATGTCTAAAGTATGGCTTCGAAACCTATGAATTTTCAGTTTTATTCTTGCTCCATCGAATTGACCATCGCGTAAAATTTAAATGATGGAGTTGGATGTTTTCCTTCTTATTTTCTGTCTTCAAAATTTTTTACAATGTTAAAAAGCATCTCAGAAATGACTTTGTAATCAAAACAATCCTGACAAATTCTTGTACAAATTAGAAGCCAGAAATCTAATTTTTTTCTTTGCTTTAGATACATCGTCTTTGATCATCGAGTATTGGTAAAGGACGTGAACATTCACGAACACCATCAAATCGAAAAGTAATCACAAAAAAGATTTGCTAAATTATGATGATGAAAGATAAATAAATACTATTTCTAACTTAAGATTACAAAGAAAAAGATTTTCTCTATTAAAATGAAAGGAACCGCAGTATAACGATTACTATCTCATATATTTGGAGGAAAGGGTGTGGGTGTGTGGATATGGGCGTGTGGGTGTGGGTGTAGGGTGTGGGTGTGGGTGCGGATATATTCTCGTCACACCCACACCCAATCCATACACCCCACCCTATAATGAATTAAGCGATGATCGAGTGTTAAGAATACGAAATTATGGGCACCGATAAAAGACCAGTGAAGACAGTAAAAAACGGTGAAAACTATTAATCGTTAGAACGTTTACCGGTCTAAAGCGGTAACCGGTGGAAAAGTTACTGGTCAGGTACGATTACTGGTGGACTGATTATCACCATCATTGTATCCCTAATTGAACCCAGTCAAGGTAAATTAACTCAATATCTGGCAGTACTGTATACCCATTTCGACTAGATTGGTGTATCCACAGCCATTGCCAATTGCAAATAGTAAAATATTTCTATTAAGGTATATCCTTCTTGGCTGATTCTCTTCATACGATATATGGCGTAGCTTTCAAGAAACTTATGCATCTTTTGTTCGATTTCTCACATCGACGAGAACTGTGGTCCTTATTCAAAAAGAAAGTTGCGATTGATTACTTTAGTCTTTGTCTCAAGAAAAAATCCTTGTACGTCATTACTTCGAAATTTTATTCGTCAAGAAATCCGTCTGCCATTTTTTGTAACGGACTGATAGCACCCGAACATGCCGCGTCTAGTCTTTATCTAAAATAAACTTGGTGTATGACCAGGCAGTGATTAGAGAATTGATTCGATATCGATTGATTTCGGAAGCGTTTTAAACAGATTTTTTCCGAAACAAACTAGGCATATTTACATAGTGATGGTCGTCAGTCACTCAGTCAAGATGAGAATCGATGACAACTAATAATTTCAGGCTAGTCATGTGCTGAACCTTTCTGAGACGAAAACTAGACAGCTCATGGTGTTACGACTAGACAAATGACTAGACTTTATGTTCCTATTTTGCTTACCTGGATAGGGATTCACTCCATTATCGGGTCTGCATAGTTCCAGAAGAAACAAAACCAGGTTAATTATCATTAAGCATACGGCACCTAAGCATCCAATGATCAAACCAGCTGTTGGGCCACTGTCAGATTCACCACCTGTCGACACATCAAGCAAATGTACTTATCTTACATGTACAATTCATTTGCAAAGTGTGATTTCATCTTACCAGTCATCTTGATAACGATGTGAAGTTACTAGTAAGTATAGACTATGTTACAGTAACAATAGTTTTGAAACTGAAAATAAATATAATTATAGGAAGTCGTCTCAACATCACTTTATGTGGATCAGTTTTTGAATATAGACGATGATCTGTCTAAGAGCAACAGAATCTTTTGATATAA